GACATTTTACTAGAAAATTAAAAAAAAATAAAAAAACATACTAAAAGGAGAATGAAATTATAATTTTAATGATAAATTTAATAAATACAATTGATTTCACTTTAAACCATTTTCACGGGTGACAATTGTCTTGGAGAGCCTCTTTCCAATATGTATAATTATTTCCAAAATTGTTAGGGAAAAGGGGAAAAGCAGGTATTGAACATATTTAAGTAAGTTTAGGTGTTTTATTATATTGGTCTACAAGGCCCCTTCCAAATTGTTTTAGAGGAAGTCATGGTCTCCCTGGCCCTTCCTATGTGCATGCCTATGAAACCTTCATTTTACTACTTGCTGGTTTCCATTTACTGGCCCTTTCAGTAATTGTGTATTAAGAGATGAGAATCGCAGGGATCATAAACTTCCACATGCTCTTTTTTTCAATTTTTTTTTTATCTATATAATTTTGACAGATAAAAATCCAAAACTCTGGTGCAGATACACAGGGTGGAAAATGAGGGAAATTTCCTCTTCTAAAATTTTTCAGTAAGTATCAATTTTAACTAGTCTCAAAACCTTCAAGAAAAATATTTTTGGATACCTAATCATTAAAACTAATAAACTCATATTGTAGCATGAGCTGAGTGTAGCCTGTGACATTTTCTGAAATATATATGATATATTAGAGCAAATCATTTTGAATTTCTCCTCCCAAAATTTGTCTCTGGATCCATCCCTTCAAAAATATGTGATATTTAGAATTCTTTGATCACTCCAAGAGAGCTTTGTGCTGGAGCACTACCTTTAGAATGTAAACCAGTTAACTTCTCTGAACAAAATTTTAAAAAATGTACTCAAAAATCTGTATTTTAATCATTTGATTATGAAGGCCATGACTTTCCCTGATCTCCAAATAGTATGACAAATCCATTTCTGAACAACCAATTCTATACATGCTTTACTCTTTCAGAGTTATCCCCAGTTTCCAACTATTGTTTGGGATAGTGGTAATCGGAAATAACAAAAGGCTTTAATATTTTTGCAATGAATGTCTCAAACCTTGTGGGAAAATCCTACAAGTTTTGACCTCACTGCAATGCCAGTAGGGAGACTATTTGAAGCTAAAATTTTATTTTGTTCACTGTGCAATTCATACACAGGATGCCTGTGCTCTTTATGAGATGTATGTAGCCTGAAAACAAATAATTATAAAGTTTTATGTAAACTACAGGAGACACAAACCAGTTTCATATAATATATTCAGAGATAAATGATGGAAAACGGAACTCTAATGATGGAACTCTAATAGCTGATGAAAACACATCATAAATATATACAACCTCTACAAAATGTAAATTATCTATTACAAAATAACATGTTTTAACATCATAACTTAGAATTCATTCTCTAACACCAGGGTCTTCTGAAAGAATAAAAACTATCCATGCCAGTGAATATTCAATTACTTATTAAATTGTTTTAGTTGTATAGAATAATGTTTAGTTTTATAGTAATTATACTCTCTCTTAGTATATAATTAAATACACAATGTAACCTGAGATTCAAGCATGATCAGTAACACTGCTGTAGTTTAAGTCTGTTTAAACACTGGTGTTTAAGCACAAATAAATGAATTCTTTCCTTTTATTTTATGAATTTATGATTATTGAAATGATTTCGAATGCAGCTAGTGCATGTATAATATTTTCAAGGACTTATTTCTGCAAGGAAATTGTTAGGAGATAATAGGAAAATGTCAATAAAGACATATCTATCTTTGTAGAGTAATCTTTTAAAGAGCAAGCTAGTGTATGAGTGTATGATTTTTTTTTTTTTTTTAGTGGCTTGTAACTAAATAAATCACCTTACAACTTACAAGAAACAAATTGCTCAAAGTGCACTTATTGAAGCTGTTTGGCAACTATTGTCTCTTGAGTTACCATTTGATAAAGTCCACAAATTAGGTATAATAAAATGAAATCTTTATAATTATTAGCAAATGCTTAAGAGAATATGATACCATGTACACAGTTGATGTTAAACTTCTGATATTTGATGTACTTTTACTAGAAAATGGTATATTATAAAATTTTGAAAGTTTTGCACACATGAAGGTACAGCTTTTGTTTTTATTTTGGCATTTTTTGGTGTTGATTAAAAATAATTAAAGTTTCTTTCTAATTTTAATTTTTAGCCCACTTTTTTTCAGCAATTATGCAACAACTTGTGTTTTCAATATTTTTTGTTAATAAAAAAATATTACTATGAAAAAGTCAGTTAGTTGTCAATACTATTAATCATGTATCCTATAAGTTTTATTTAATTGTGAACAATAGTTCTGAAAAATGGTACAATAATCACATAATAATTACATTTTCAGAAAATATCCAATGGAAGTATCTACTTACCACACTGTACTAAAACACTCTCCTGAACAAATATCAATTTCTGAACTATGTGTTTCATCAACTTAAAATAAATTACAAAATGCCGAACTATGAATAAAACAATTTTTGTTGCAGTAAAAGTAATGGTGGGCATAGATAGATAAAAATAGCTTGAATTTAGAATATTTAAATGAGTTTTAAAACAGCTTACCGATACCAAAGAAGAAAAAATGTATGTATTTATTAAGAACAAAGATTGAACTACGTATTAAAAAAAAAAATCGATAATTTGATCCTTTTCATGGTTCAGTCTCCCCTAATAAAATGTAATTTTTTGCTTTGTTTTCTCACTAATGATGGTAAAATGCTCCATATTCATGTAAATGTAGCTTCACTGTGTGCATGTTTTGTTGAACTCTCCTTTTGCTTGTAATGGTAAGAGTAGAGGTAAGGGCGATTTACTACTTTGTTAGCAATGCAGAAAAATCGTACTTGCAATTCGTTAACCAATGCAAATAGTTTTTCTGTAACTTGGAAATGAATTGTGTCTATTTTTTCAAATATTGCTAATCTTGCAAATTTTTAAAATTTATTTTTATTTATTTATTTTGAACTTTCAACTACTTACAGTTAAAATGATGGGAAGAGATTCTGAAACTCAAACAAACGTGTGCAGATAATCTTTTCCCCATACGTCACATACAGTTTTTACTGTTTTCTTTTTCTTTTTTTTTCTTTTTTTTTTTTTTTGAGTAAGTATCATGAGTAATATTTTGTAAAAGTTATATAATAAATCATGAGTAAAATGTTGTAAAAGTTACTTGAAAGTAAAGTTGATGGTACTAGTATGTATACTTGATAGAATTATTGATAAGTAACGTTTACTTTCATTATGCCAAAGAAAGCATCAAAAAAATGTTTTTAGGTCCAAAATATTTTAACCCTTTATCATGGAATGCCATCTTCAGATGGGACATTTGTTTCATCTCTATTCATGAGGAGCCATACCTAGACATTAGAGATTCTTGTGTATAGCAGGATGTCATGTAGAGAGGGAGATAGTTGTAGTGATGCATTAAGCTGGCTACCTGCTACCAAACCCCTTTTCACTTCATCCTCATTGGAATGCTGCAGTCTTCAATATAAACCCTCACTTTAAGGAGGAAAGGTTGAAGGATATTTGTTTTCCTCAAACTACATGTAAGGTTTTCATTGATTTAAAACCTTCAATTTTAAAAATAACAGTCCCTGAGACTTGTTTTCTTAAAACAAAATTTTCATTTATGCTGAATACAAAATGTATTTTTATTTATTAACTAATAGTTAATATTTATAACAGTAACAACTGATCTATTGAATGACCTTCAAATAGTATAGGAAATTACCGAAGTAAAAGCTATATTTTTGAATATGTATCATTGTCTTCTGGGAGTGCTTAAGACCCATGAGTCACCACCTTAGGTATGCTACTGTTTATTAATGAATTAACATAATGCTTATTATTAGAACTCAGCGAGATGTCACCACATTTCCAACTTGGAGACTAAACATGCTAACATATGTGAATACCTATAAGCTTACATTTCCTATTATTTTTAATCTGATTAGACAAAATTTCAAACAGTTAATGTTATAGTATATGACATTTGTTACTGGAATTTATCATTACTATGCACTATTAGTCTATTAAATATGTCAACCTCTGTGCAGTAAAAACTTTGGAACTATGCACCATAAAGTACCTATTTTAACCGATTATAACATTGTTTGTTATAATTTGTATAAACAGCACATTCATCTAGCACTTTACTCTTAGTACACCTCTCAAAGAGATTTCAAAAATACTATTAGCTTTTAGTATTGTTTGGAATGGTTATCATTAAATAAGTTTATAGAGTGTATTAGAGCCAAATTTGAACAAGGTTTTTCAAGCAGTCACCTTTGTGTTCCGAAAAGTACCTTTCCTTTTTTGCATTTTTTTTCGCTCCTATTGGTAAAGCAAGTGCCCTATGTAACGTGTGGGAGGGTCAATTCATGTGCGTTAGTTTATCATCATTACCAACTTTTATGGTGAACTCAATGGTATGTAATACTGGAAATAATAGTGATTTTCCTATTAAATATCATGCATCATTCAGATGCAGAATTTCCTATTAGTGTTGTGTGGCTACAGGCAGCCAGAGCCCACGTAAGCACAATTGCATAGCTCTGCCTCAAAAATTACATCTGAGCAGTAAAGTCCCTATAAGTAGAAAGAGGAAAACACTTGAAATTAAAAATTCAACAAATAAGATTGCATTCATTGACTCGCAATGGAATAAGAGTGAATGATCTATCATTTCAGTTTTTCTGTGGCTTTCATCAATTCACATTTTAAGATGAAACCATCCTTGCTGCTCTACCCATGTCTAAAACTTGTGTGCAAGAATCATTAACCATGATGCATTCCTCTGGTAGGAAAAGCTAATAGATAGCAATCCAGGAGAGGAGACTTTCACTTCAGGCCATATAACTCCATCAAAACGCATTTCCTTTTCTGACAGTAGGAGCACTGAGATATAAGGGTGATTAACACACAATAGGAAGTAATGCTAAGAATTCTTCCATTGAGCCAGTTCTACCAATTTTTTTTTTTTTTTTTTTTATTCTTTTGTCATGAGAAGTCATATGATGTTAACAGAAATTCAGTAGATCATTCTTGATAATCCAATAGACTAATCAGTACCCAAGGTATTGTTTACTACAATATGCAATTTAAACCATTTATCCAGTGATACCAATTAGTAATGAACATGATGAAAGAGTTTAGGAAAAAATTTCATCAAATAATTAAATCTCGTTTTATCCCCTTATTTCACATAGTATCCAAAATTATTGTTGAAATAAATAATATCTCTGTATTGTGTTCCTTAATAAAAAAATCATAAATAATTAGTTCTTTTTGCAATTATGTAACCCCAGGAATAGAGTTAAGAAGGACAAGGAGTTTTAACAAAAAACAACATTGGAGTAGAGAATAAATTACTGCATTATATTCTGTAGAATACTGTGCACAGTAGCATTTGGTTTACATACCATGTAACATACAGCAGTTGCCTTTGTACAAGCCACACTTATGCTCTACACGAATTGGTACAAACAGATATAATGTACAATACAGCATAAGACTATATTTGACACCATGCACATAGCATTGCACTAGAGAATATTCCACATCAATACACACATAATTTCTTATGATAATGCCTTTTTATAATTGGCAAGTTATCAATCACTGAAGCCCAATGTGTTCTTTTGTTAAAGAGAAATTATTTAATGTCATATTTGTGTATTATGCACATCTCTCTTCAGATTTAACATGCAAAAACTGATGTATGTGATTCTGGCTTTTCTTTTTTCTTTTTTGTTCAATATTTAAGTGAATTATTTCTATATTTGACTAAATGTATGAACATGGATAATGCACAGTAATATTCCTAGTAAAAATTCTTTGTAACAAGGTAATCTACAGTGATCAAAGTAATAAAAATTATAATAGAAAATAACATAAATGCATAAAATTTGCTACAATAATACTTGTTCAAACTTTCTAATTGAAAGTACATGAAAGCATATTTTAATGTCCATTGCAAAAGCACATCTTTTTTCTACATAATTTACTTTATTTTTAATGAAAATGAATAATATTCATGGTTTCTTTGAAGTTAAAGCGATATATTTAAATGAGTGTATGAAAGAAATGACAAGTATTATCTGTACTAACTCACATTTAAATCTACACTGCAAATAATACTTTTTTTCTAAAACCTACTTCTCACACAGGCGTGAACACTTGTACTGTCCCTCACAGCAAAATAACCAACCAATGAAGTATTATACTTCGTATGTTGCATATATTTCCATTCATAATAAAACTTATGTTCAACCTGTGCTTTCGTAATTAATTAAAATCGTTATTAATTCTACAAAATTTTCCGTGACATCTATCATACAATGTAACACCAATTATTTCTACATGTAATGGTAGTGAACTACACAATATAATAATAAATTTTTTGATGAAATATATTTAGTGAAATCATGGCAAGCACCTCAAACTAGAGTGAATATACAATAGAAACACTACCACACTTGTTGCCATGACATTTATGAGAAATATCTAGAAGTATATTTTTAAGAAGAAAATTACACACACAAAACATTACATACAATTAACATTACTTCTAAATTTTGAGATAACTAATCTTTGGTAAAATGAAGAACATACTGTGAACAGTCTCTCCTTCACTTATAAACATATAGGTACACAGAAATTGTCTCTGTCAACTATTTTTAAAATGAGATATCTTCAGAATACAGAAGTCTTTTGAACAGAAAATACTATTACGATCACATTCGGATCATTCAACAAGATGAGCTCTTCAAATCACCCAATTCTGCCAGCAAACGAGCTTCACCGGTGCGTAACAAGTAGCGTTCCTTTAAAGCAGTAAGAGCAGCTAGAAGGCGGCCATTGGCTGCATCCAAAGCAGCGATTTGGTGCTCTTGGGCTTCAATCACTCTCTGCTTATGGGACAAAGCATCTGACATCTTTTGCTGCTCACGACGTAGCTCTTCTTCTACAGTGATGAGCCTGTGGAAAGAAATATAAATGTAGGAAATTTTGTCAGGTATCTGACTAGAGAAATTTTTCAATACAAAATGTAAAGATATATTTTAAGAAATATGTTGTTATCGTATGCTGTTGGGTCATAAAATAAAATACTGATAAATAGTATAAAGGTGTCTGCTTTTAAAAGGCCAGAAACTATTTACATTAATGGCAAAATCAATTATTATTAACTTAATAATATGTATGTATACTTCGTGTTAGGAATACGTGACACATGTAATTCAAATTCTTCTTATGAATTATTCTTCGCAGTTTGTAAAACAAAAGAATAAGGAGGTATCCTCACCGTGCAATGATGCCTTTCATTTTGTTGTCACTATGTCTGTCATCCAGATCAGGAGAACTAAGCGTGGAAGAACCAGGCCTCTGTTCCGCTTGTTCCAATTTGATTTTCAGCAATTCCACGCTGGCCTGCAGTCGTTCTATCTCTCGTTCATACTGAAAATGCACAATGGTTAATGTTAATGTGCAACAAAAATAATTTCTCTTAAGAAGATCTACTTTAATAATATAATATTTAATAAATTAAAAATGTAATACTTAATTAAATATCTAACATTGTTTCTTTTGTTAACATTCTGTGTTCTACATTGTAATAAGATACACTGATTGCACTGATGTGGATGCACTGACTAACTAAAACAGAAGTTTCTTCAAACTTTTACTTTTGTTGAAAATTTTATTTTTTCTGAAAACTTTTACTTTTGTTTCGTCATCATCACAGTCATTTTCATACTCCTCCACCTCCACCTCACCATCATTATTTTTCCACAATTTTTGTGATCTATCATAATATCTACATTCCAAAACATTTTTTACTTTTTCAAATAATACAATATATATGGAATTATTACATTAGTTTTGAAATACTTCATATTTGTTAATGATAATTTCTATTCCACATAAATACTTGTCACTTGTCAAACTTACTCATGGTTTTATATAATTTGATTTGTTTAAAAAAATATATTTTCATCAGTCCTATGAATGTTAATGTTTTTCAATAGTAAACTGAATTCAAAAAAGTTTTTTCTAGCATCTATCAAGACAATTAAGTAGCCTACAATTTTACAGGAAGGAAAATAAATTATTGCAAGAAAATGAGAAAATTTTAATTACTTGATAAACAAATATGTGCAGTACTTGAATAAAAAAACTTGCCTTTTAATTACTGATAAAATTATACTTTCAAAAACAATAATGCCAAAATTTGAATAGATGAATACAAGAGGTGTAACTGACACACTAACACTCTTGCAGTATTTTTTTTTAAATGATTTTTATATTAATAAAACAGATTCAACATTTTCTTACAACAATTTATTTCTTTTAATGTTTCGAACCATTTTGGGGTCTTTTCAAAAATCTGTAGCTCAGGCTTGTTGACCCACAATAAGAGTTAGCATTTTGATAAAAAATTGTCAATGTTATAGAAAACCTGGTCAAGATATAATAGTCATCTAGTCAACAAGCCTGGACAATAGATTTGAAAAAGACCTCAAATATGGTTAAAATGTCAAAATAAATAAATTGTTATAAAATATTCTGAATCTCTTTTATTAAGGTCATAAAAATCAATGCAATAAAATAAACAAGATAACAGATGCTAATATATTTATTAACTCTTGTCGTAAATTAGCACAATTGTTTGAACTAATATGCAATAATTTTGTTATCTGATATATACAAGCCCCATTTATTCCTTCAAGAATTTATATGCATAAACCAAAATACTTATGTCTATTTGGTTTGTTTCAAAGGCATAAGTGATAGAAAGTTACTTCTATCACAAGCCAGGGTCTGGTTAAGGCGTGACTCACTATTGAAGGCCGCACCTGCTCGATGCTGCGAGCGGTAGGGTGTCGTGGCTTGCTGCGTCGACTATGGCATGAATTGTCATCAGATGAATCGCTAAGGTCACGAGGAGAATCCAATGAGAGTCGGCGGCCTCGAACTTTGGGACAACACTCCAATCGACTTCCCTCTGAAAGAAAAAACAATCAGTAAATGAGTTTCTGGAGAAAATTCAATGGATATTTCGTAACATTCTAATATAATTACATGACTAACTAAAGCATTTTATTGATCTGTAATGAAATATATTTCATCACATTCGGTGAATGTATTACTCACCAACCATACTTGCAGCACTTGGAGCTCGAGAGTTATAATCACACAAGGGATGAGGGTGGCCATTAAAAGGCCTCCAATTGCTAGCACCAGGGGGTGGGCATTGAGGATTGGTGCGAGGAGCGCATCGCCTCGCAGGAGGAGGAGTTGGTGTAGCAGGAGGAGCTGTGGCATCCTCTGATGAAGAAGAACAGGAGTGGCTGCGGTGATGCCTCCCATGTGCCATTTCTAGATGATACACAGGATTGGTGAAAGATAAAGGAGCTGACCTGAAAGTGTAGGTCATCATCAGAAAAATACAGTATAAAATTCAATGAAACTTATACTTTCATGTTTCATACTTCAATTACTCTTACAGATATGTCTAAAGCAAACGTAAACATAATACCATGAGTGGCAAGCAACCAAAAACAAATACTATAATGACTGAAAAGGAGATCAATAGAATGGAGTCTATTCCATAACAAGAAATAGATTGGAAAAAAGTACTGTATTTACCCGATTATAAGCCGACCTTTTTTCCCCTTTTTTGTAGTTCAAAAATTGACCCTAGATTTAGAATCAATGTCATTGTGTTGCTATAACATAGTTGACACCAGTCATTTGTAAAGATAACTATTTTTTGTTGGCCATGCAGCCAACATGGTAGAACGTACATAAACTACTTCCATTTGTTGTGTTCAAACACAAGACACTCCCAAAATCAGTTATTTCCTTAGAGCGTTATAGCACACGCAAATAAAAAAGTGATTTACCAAAGACATGGTGTTACAATGGTTCAGTTGGCATTGTCGCTCTGGCGCTTTGTAGAGGTTACGTAGCCTCCTGGTTTTGGACTCTTACACAGCCCACACTACCGAGGCGGTGAAGGAGTTAAAAGATCAGGGAATCAACTTGGCAATTATTTCAGGGGGACTAATGTAAATACGTCAACCCCTGGATGTGCGCATCAACAAACCATTCAAGGACAGGTCAAAGAAAATGTTCTCAAACTGGCTCTCCATAGAAGACAGAATGCTCACACTTCAGGGCCCGTGAAAGGGGCTAGTCTATCGTAAGTGTGCGCTTGAATAGATGATACCTGGAAGATTATTCCTAGAGAAGTTGTTGCAAGGGCTTTTAAAAAGTGTTCAATCTCAAATGCCCTTGATAGCAGCAAATATGTCTTCCTTTTCATGGACAAAAGTGACAAAGAGTCAAGTGAGGAATCTGAGTCATCCAATTACGACATCTGAGTGAATGACCTCTAAAATGTGTAGAAATCAGAGGTCCGAGTGTGTTTAGCATCAAATGTATTTCTTACATTTAAATCAATTTCCTTTTTTTTCCGTTCATTATTTCTTGGGGTCGGCTTATAATCGAAAAAATATGGTAGTTATCATGGATAGTTATAAGCTAACTGTAGTAAAAATAATAGACTGAATTGAATCTTAGTTAAAATTTAATAAATAAAACAGCTTTTCATCATTTATTCATCCCCCCCCCCCATGATGTATAATGTTTTCCCTCGACAAAGGCTCAGAGGTGCCCCTGACCAGTATTAAATATTAAATCTTTAAAATAAAATTTGTTTTCTCCTTACCCTAATGTGTTAGTATTTCCATGCATCATGTGACTGTTGTTATTATTGTTGTTCATGTTGCTTTGTGTATTTCCATTGTTATTGTTATTATTGTTGCCACCATTTCCATTGTTGTTATTATTAGAAATGGTAAGGTCAACAGGACTGGAGCTTTGACTATAAGCAAAACTTTGGTATCCTGAAGATGCAACACCAGATAGTTGCGAAATTGATAACGTAGAACCTTTCAATGGTTCTGCTTCTTCATCTGCATACTGTAAAGCTGCAGACAGTTCATCCAAACCATTTCCAACATTGCCATTCAAACCATTAGCCAAAGAACCACCTCCTCTGTATCCACCAACAACATGATCCTGAAAGAATAATTATAGTCAGTAAACCTCAACATCACTGGCATATCGACACTTTCCAATAGCAATTATTGAACCTGTTGCAAGCAAATAATACCTGTTGATGGTGATGATGGTGATGCATATGATGCATATGGCAACAGTCTTCATTTCCAGGTGGTGGAGTGCTGCTGGACATAGTCAACTTTGGCAAGAAAGCATTACGAGGTAAAGTGGCAGCTCTTGGAGCTGTAGGGGAACGGGGTGATGATGCTCCACCCAAATGCACAGAAGTACTCATCATTTCATTGTTCTGCATCACCGGTGAGTAAGGTTGACCCACTCCAGTATTGCACACAGTGGGATCATTATATCTGAAAATATATAACAAATTATTACCCTCAGTAAATCCAGATACCAATCCTGCTTGACTTTATGAATTGTAACTTCTAAATTGTTGTCTTTCCCATCATACTACTATTTCCTAATTAATTCAGCTGATATAGTTTAATCTTTCCAGAGTTTCCAGTAGTGTGTGTTGATTTTTTTTTTTTTTTTAATGTTGCTGCAAAGGACATGGTCTTTATTTAATCATTCTGAATGTTTCCGTATCTTACCTGAAAATATTATCGCGATGGTTGTACCCATTCATGTCAGTTGGAGGCGGAGGTGCACTCAGCTGTCGGCTAAGGACTGTGCCGTTACTGACATTCATTGATGTGGGAGTGGCTTGATGGGCAGCTCGCACCTTATCAAGAACCTGGCGCAAGCGTTCGACTTCTGGCCGATTCACTGTATTGGGACCAAGTTTACTCAAGCTTTCTGCCAATAAGGCAGCTAACAAACTGAGTTGTTTACCCAAGTCAATATGACCATCAAACTCAAGACCTGAAGAAGGTGAACCTCGACTCTGTAACAATGACAACAACAAAAAATACATTGACAAGGCAGAAATGTAATATTTTGTCTTCTTTTTTTTTTTCTAGTGCACTCTTAACTGAGAAAGAAACACACACATATACAGCAAATAATATCATGAAAGTTTAAGACAACAACTTACAGAGATAAGCTGCAGGAACGTGCGCATGCCAGGAGCTTCTCTTTCAAGAAAATCATTCAAAAATTCCATGAAGTTCTCTTTGCCCTGAAAACGAGTGAAATTTGCCAGTGTCTGCAAAGTCTTGGCCACCAATGTCAGGTTTCGGGCTGCCTTTTCATTTGGATATTCTGAAAAAGTCAAACGAAATATTTTATTAGCCTAATAATAAATAAGTTTCTATTAAAGTTTTCTTTATTTACTTTGTATCATAATTAAAGTATTATGGCAACATACCATGGGTAATATTGAATAAGCTTGGAGAGAGCACTGCAGGACATAAAAAGCGCAAGAAAATTGAAGCCGATATTAAATTGTCAGCTAAATCTTCCCTGCCTGTTGCTGCTAAGCGTTCCCGTAATGTTGCAAAGCACTCTCGCAGTTCTCTGTGAAATAAATACAATAATCAATAAAAAGTACTGAGTAAAATTCATTTTCTTAATTATGAAAAACAGAACACATCATTTCACATTTGAAGAAAAACAACGACTTTGAAAAATTGTACTGAAGATGAAATAGAACATTTGAAAAGAGATGTAGAAAGTGTAATAATACTTACACAGGGAAATGTTGGTGAGATGCCAGGATGCGATTCCAGGCTGTTTCTACTGCATTGCGCAAATTTGCCTGTTGGCGCTGAAGAGCTCCTGTGCTGGCCACTTTGAGTGGATCTACTTCACAATCTTGCCCGTCATCCAATACAGCTGCCACCAACTCACCCAGAGTATCTTGCAGGTAACGGTCTCCCACCAGTTTCAGGTACGCTTCCATGGCTTTGGTAGCCAATGAGTTGCCTCGGAAAGTCAGCCGCTCATCCTCTGAAATATCATCAAATTTGCACGCTCAATTAAAAAAGCATTGTGAAATATATTAAGGATCATAGAATAATCTGCAATTTTGACCAGATAAACAACTGTTTTCTGTACTATGCCGACAAAAATTTGCAATAAATTATTTGATTATTGACATTACAAGCAATAGAGGAAAACAAGATTCTTAAGAATTATGAAATAGCATATGCATAGTAAATGAAATGTAAATGATGAGAAAACATTATTAAGAAGTGAAATGTGGTTTCAAACCAGTTTTGGGTCACTTCCATATTAATTATAATGAAATTATAATCAGTATTTATAATATATATAATGAAATTATAATTAATATTTGTATTAATGTTAATGAAATTATAATTAATATAAATAATACCAAAGGAAACAATGAATGGGACATACAAAACTGTTTCTAATACTCACCAACTCTATCGATATCCATCATAACAAGATCTGCAAGAAACTGCCGAGCTACACCTTCTCGTTGCATTACATGAACAAGAGCAGTTGCTATATCTTCCTTAGCTTTAACTGATATTACTGGCTCAAGGAGTTCACATAAAGATGAATACTCCAATTTTAAAAACTGCAAGTAAAATGAATAATAAAACATTTAAATAATAACATGGATTAAAAACTAGGTAACTATGTTATAAAAACAACCAAATATTTTATTTTCAATGTGATTTTACCTGGAGGAAATCTGCATAGACATGAACTGGTAAAATTTCCACAGACTGAAAACGACACTTTACTCTAAGAGAAGGAGGCTCCTTGCCACCGGATGAATTTGTCGAGCCTTTTTCACCCAAAACAGGGTACCAACGCTCTGTTAAGAAAGGGCCAGCCACATCATGTACTGGAATACTCACAGTACCTGGAATAATAAGATAAAATTGTATCAATACTTCATTACTAAAATCCAGTGAAACAAAAAGCAATTAAATTATCATCACGCACTCAAAATACTTACCAACTAATGTATTGCGGTCTCTCTTCTTCTTACGGTCAGGTTCCCGGAAGAGACTGACATTGATAACATTAACAGCAGGTAGATGATAAAAGTCAAAGTGTTCTCCCCAGAAACATAATTCACCCTTTTGCTTGCTTGATGTTCGAGCATAGAGAGTCTTGTCGAGACAAAGTTCACAGAAGTACCTACAATAATAGACATGTAAATTACATAATTGGAAAAGTCAATCAAGTTTTTATTTCATCAGATACCAGCAAATAAAATGTACGAACCTTTTCTTGTTTGGCACACCCTTAGCTTCAAGAATCCATATTTTCAATGAGTTGTCTGTGCGTCTGACATGCTCTGCATCAGGTTGCACTGATTTTCGCAAGCTAAAAAAGAAATGTAATTATTACTACTAATTTAAAAAATATGTTCTGTTTCTCATACAATGCACATTTTCAAGAAGAAATGAACTAAGAAGTCAGTGTGTATTATTAAGTTTTGTAAAAGTTATAAAAAAAGCAGTTCCATAATAATATGACAACCAAATAAATGGCTACAACATAGCAAATTTATATTTTTAAAAAAGCAAATAACTATCCAAAATATTGATAGTTAAATTATTTGATAAAATACTACTTTTTTAAATATTGATAATTATGACTTCTTGGAGACCTTCAAATCTCACCGCTATTTATCTCGAGTAAAGGCAGCATGTCAACATACATCTCTGATGTAAATTCGAATCAGGTAAAGTTAGTTCAAGAAATGAAGGGCAGAGGACGAACAACATCTGGGGAGGGTCGCGCCGCAACAGGTCGGGTCGGTCGGGTCGGGTCGGGTCGGGTCGGGTCGGGTCGGGTCGGGTCGGGTCGGGTCGGGAAGCATCGAAACGACGTCGGGAGCATCGGGAAGCATCGACACATCGCATCGGGACGGATCAGATCTTGGGACGGGACGGGACGGGTCGGGGAGGGGAGAGGAGAGGAAGGGTAGGCTAGGAGAGCGCGGAGCGAGGCTGGGCAGGGCGTGTAGTGTTGCGTCACCTCGCGTCTCGTGGCGCGGGGCAGGGGACACGCCTCGGCTGGTTGCGGGTGTAGCCGGGTCGGATTACGCAGCCGTGGCCAGGTGTAAGGGAGAGAAAAGCGCCAAGAGGCCGAAGGCAGGGCCGTACCTGTGCACCCAGCGGTCGCGTTCGCGCGCCGAGCGGCAGCAGAAGTAGCGCGGCGGGCCGGCGGCCGGCGTCACCTCGAAGCAGTGCTCGCGGCCCAGCACGGACGGGTGCAGCGGTTTCACCACCGTGTGGCCCGCCAGCTCCAGCGTGGTCATGGCGCCGGGCCCGCCCAGTAGCGACTCGTGGCTGCGGCTGGTGCGCAGCCCTGCGCGTCCGCCGGGGCCCGCGACGGGGTTCCTGCGCAGCGCAACACCCTCACAGCACTCGTATACGCAAAGGAAGGGGGGGGGTGACGTTGGCCGGGTTGATGTTTTAGGGGCCACAAACACGAGCGAATGCAGTCGAGGGAAGCCCAGCCTTGCTAATCCGAAATTCCGTGCAATAGAAGATAAAAGAAAGAAAAGCCTGATGTGCCTCAAGTCACCTAACAAGCGGCGATAATCAAGAGCTGGCTCTTGAAGGGTTGGCAACACTCCGAAGGTCACGTGTAAAGTCCGAGTTTTTTGTAAAAAGAGGAACCGTCAGCTCCAATTACCTCGGATTATCGCGACTACTGTAAAGGCGTTGGCACAGCCAGAGAGCAACCGTGGCAAGGATTGGGCGGCCCCGAAAATTTCGAAAGAGACCTCCGCAGCCCTACGGTACATGTTCACAATCATTGGTTTATTTTTGTCTATACGATTAAATCCTGATCTCCCCTTTTTAAGTTGATACTTGGGGGCTTTGATACACGACGTTGGGAAAGAAGCTCTTTAATCAAATGGCAATTCTGTATATGATTCAGCATTAAATTGTGTTACAGTAACTAAATGTATAACGTCATTCTCCTAGAAGTATGTTTTATTTATGTACTAGAAAAGTACGGCATATGTCAATAGAAAAGTTTAATGGAAATAGGGCCCGAAATCTTAGTCGCCCCTTATGAAATATCTTAGGCTGCGCACAGCTATTCGAAACTATGGGTCCCCTTGATAATTTCAAGATGTTGAACTTGTAGGTTCAAAATGAATATGAAAATAAAATCTCCAACTTCAAAATTAAAAAAAGAAAAACGATTGAGGCTATTTCTATTCAGCAAATTTATAAGAGGGAGGGAGAGCACAGCACATGCTTCGTCCGCTTATCCAGCGAAGAGTTTCATGATTCATAGTAGCGAATTGCGTCTGCTTTTCCGCTTAGCCATTAAATTAAGTGTTCTAGATGGAGGCAATTGCTACTAGATCGTTCCCTCGAACGATGACTAACACATTTACAGACAGAAACACATCCGACACTTCCTTGACTTCTTCTTGATCTGGCGATTTCTATCTAATATCCGATTCCAAATTTGGGATACTTTGGTAATTATGTGGTTTGTTTAAAAAATATTGAAGGTAAATGACCTGCTCTTCAATTTGAAGGCGGGAACTCTGTCAAAGCAATTGAAACGTGCAATAATGAGCAGCTATATTAAAGAATCTCACTTGCGTTCATTGCATTTGTGTGACGAATCCCAACCACTATGGGACAGCCAAAAGTGAAATGCAAAAGCAAGCAGTAACAAAAACCCCATTTCAATTACTTTTATAGGCAATGCGATTTCCTGATTTTTTTTAAGATTCCTGGGCTTTCTCCGTGGACCACCCAGAGCAGTGACAATGCAGTTCTTTTTGCCTATGCCGGAAACGAAATCAGCGACACAAACTTTCCTTCCCAAAGAGAGCACAATAGAAACGACCAAAAAGTAGGCAATCTCGGTTGAAACCGACCCGGTGACCTTCGAGTTTGCGGACGCAACACGGCTCGAGCGCCGCTGGCAGCTGCGAGTACTCACCCGTCGGCGTCTAGCACCCTCTTGCGCTCGAGCTTCGTCACGCTCTTGGTCCGCTTCAGCGGGTTGGACCGGAAGGAGCGCTTCGAGAAGAAGTTCTGCAACAGCGAGGCGCTCCCGTCAGCACAGCGCGGCGGCGGCGGCGGG